ACTGAAAGTAACCTGATATATATTGAGATTTTTTTTTTTCCTCCCCAGAGGATTAAAAGTAACACATATAAAGAGCTAGGAACATTATAAAATAAGCAGCAGATTTACAAATGCTCATTTCAGTGTTAATACAGAGTTGCAATTGTCACGATCTGGCCCTGAGATGTCAGTGTGGGGAGCAGTGGCTCCACTTGGACTCCACATGTGGGAAGTTGAGAAAAGTCACAGATGAACTGGGTGAGCACGGGACGGTAGAGGGGTGGCGGCAGCAGGGCGGGAGGTTGGGGTGACAGCGAGGCAGCCATGTACAAAAGAGCCAGGACACTTTGAAGCATGCCTTCTGCAGGTGCTGCAGACACTGGCAGCTCCGTCATGGACACCATCTACCAGATGCGCCTGGAATTTGCCACCGTCCTTGGGGACCTGCGGGGCATCTTGGGTTGTCTCCCCTACCTCGCTCACCTGCATTTATTGATCACAGCTACTGGGTCTCTTTCTTGGGTCAAAAGTGAATTCATCCAAAGTGAAAGCCAAAGAGAAATACATATTACATGGCCTTTTGTTCACCCGATCGCTCTGGGTGGGCTGATCCTGGACACCACGTACAGGATTTTTTTTTTCCCTTACGCAGACAGTCCCAGCTGACAGGAAAGCTGTTAGCAGGTCTGAAGAGTAATGTTTGAGAAGCGTGGCAATGCCGTCTCTGAAATGAGAACTATTCAATTCAGAAATGCATCCTTTATTCCCTGTTCTACTTGTTCTCTAAATCTTTCCTTCGGTGTAGTTCTTCTTTCATTTTAATAGTTACAGCTCCCTGTGTGTTTTCTCTTGTAACAAATTGTTCTTGGTCCTATTAAACAAGTTTCACAAATCCCCAGGGATTCAGGATATCAGGTAAAATCTGGATTGCTTTGACGCAGCTCAGAGTACGGATGCCAACGCTTGCTTGTGCATGCTGTCTCTGTCTCTGTCTCTGTCTCTGTCTCTGTCTCTGTCTCTGTCTCTGTCTCTGTCTCTGTCTGTCTGTCTTTCTCTGTAGTGCCATGTAGGGAAGGACACACAGGAGCTGTGATTCTAAACTAGCTATACACATGGCATTTTTCAGGGCTGGGGCTCTCAGGCCAAATATCGTATGAGTGTCCCAAATACCAAAAAATAAAAATATTTATCAGAATAATGTTTGACTGGGATCCTGTGTTTTGTTTTTTTCTTTCCTGGTAGTACTAGGGATTGAACCCAGGACTTTTGCACTGAGCTCTGTCCAGCCTCTGTGTTTTTATATTTTATTGTGAAGCAGGGTCTTGCTGAGTTGCACAGGGCGGGCTCTAACTTGTGATCTTTCTGTCTCGGTCTTCCAGAGTGCTGAGATTATAGGTGTGCACCACCATGCCTGGTAGGAATCCTGCATTTCTAGTTGCTAAACCAGGCCATGCCACTCTTGCCTACCCCTCCGCCTTGTGTGAGGAAGGACCATAAAAGGTCCTGCATGGAGCCCAGGTCTTTCCTTACTGCTCTCTTCTTTACTCAAAGCTGAGAAGATTTAAGTTACAAGGGATCACTTGTAATGGTGCAAACATTACATTTGCTTTAAAACAATAGTCTCACATAATTCATAAAGTATAGAAGTTTGTTTTTTAGTCTTTCTTATTGCCCTCTGTCCTAGGCATAACAGATATTAACAGGATTTTTGTGTGTATTCTTCCTGAGATGTACATTTCCAAGCATATTTCTACTTCTCTAGTTTTCTACCCCACTCGTTTTCCCACAGAGGTGAGTACAGTTGGCCCTGGGTATCCTTAGGTTCTGCATCTGTGGATTCA